AGTTCTTGCTAGAAGAGTATTTTTAAAATGTTGGCCATGCCTGTAATCCCACTCAGGAGATTGAGGCAGGATAATCACCTTGAATTGTAGACCAGCCTGGGTTACATAGTGAGTTCAAGGCCAGCCTGAACTATATAGCAAAATCCAGTCTTAAAAAAACAAAACCTAATTTAAAAAAAAAGTGTATGAATTTTTTTTTTTTTTTTTTGGGTACCGGGGATCAATGAAATTATCCAGGGTTTTTTGGTGCTGGGATCACCCCAGGGCTTTGGTACATGCTAGGTAAGTGCCCTACAACTAAGCCACATACCCAATAGGGCTTTGTTATTCAAAGAAAGATTGGCATCTGGATCAACAGTGTAGGAATTACCTGGAATATTAGAAATCTCTAGCTGTACTCTAGCGCTCCTAAATTCCTGAATCTGCATTTTAATTAAGATCCCTGGGAGATTAGTGTATTTAATAAAGCTTGAAAAGCACTAAGCCAGAGGATGTTTAGAAGGATAAAAACGGTTGAGATGATTTTGTAATGTCTGATCTCCTGTAGTCACATCCCACATAAAGCTAAGAAATCACTGTGCCTAAACTTTGGTAGTTTTGCCCATTTGCATACACTGTTCTACCAATCCATTTAATTCCTTGTTAAGTCTCACCAGTTTAAATAATATATTCAACTTTTGTTTGTAAGAGTAGTCCATCACTTTCGTGTATGTAATTAAAGATAATAATAGGTGAAAACAGAAATGATAGGACTTGGTCCTACAAAACATACCAGATTTTGCTTCTGTCCATGATGGCTGTTAATTACAGGACCACAGGTTTGTTATATTTATAAAAACATACCAGACAAGTATGCTTTCAAATCCAACAGATCATCCCTAATGGCCATGAAGCCTCCAAATTTATTTTCACATGGCTCTCTACTGGGTGAAAATAGATTTAAGCCACAATCTTTTACTTACAGGAAACATTTCTAATCTAAAGCTAAACACTGGTAAAATGGTCTGTCCTCGGACATTGTGGACCCCAAATGTGGACCCCTTTCATGAGTACACTGCAAGGTGACCTAAGAGGTAAACAATATGAGATCTCAGATGACTTCCAAATGACTTGTTTTACATTAGCACAAGTAAGGGAACCTATCTTTAATCCTTTAATGAGGACAGGTCCTACTCTAGGTAACTCAAGTATGCAGCAAATATGTAGAGAGCACCCGAGTATCTCCATAGGGCCAACCCCAGCAAACAGGAAGGATGCCTTCTCCAGAGATTTCCCCACCCAGCACTTTTCCTGTGCAATATGTAGTCTGGAACTCCCATCACAAAGATAATTCTGCTGAGAAATCCTTTCAAACCCATTCTGCTTGAATTAAGTTTCTCAGAATAAAACAGTAATGGAAGATATCCCTAACCCCTGAAATCTAGACTGTTTAGCACCCCCTCACTGTCCATGATACTGAGTTCATTCCTCAGGGTCTGACATCATTTCTTAACGCTGAGAGCTGTACTTGAACTCGGCTGCAACTGTTCATGATGTTCCTTCAAAGTGCTCTGCCGTGTCTGATCAGGTCCAGCACCTCCCTCTACTTGTAGCTGTATCAGCCTACAACCTAGGTAGACCCTACATGGAAAGGGTTCTGTTACACTTTATTAACGCAACAGTCCCCAATCTTAGGGTTGGGAGCAGTCAGAAGAATGAATTTCCAGGTGAAGAACAATCACTTCGACTCTAAGAATCACTAGTTTCCCGATTAGATAGGAAAAGGAAGGCAAGCAAGCAGGCACGTCTCATCTGTTCACATCGACTTCCTAGATGTGTCATCTATGACTAGCTCATGTCTTGGGATTCAATGCTATTCAGCAACAAGCTTGCTCTGGCTCAGTGCTTCTATCCATCTGTGAAGAACTTTCCTCCCATTTACTAAGGACAAGTACTTTTTCTGGTAGGACACAATAAAAAAATACCAGAACAGAGGAGAGTAAACATAGAAAACTCAATTTTCTAATACACCCAACAAAACACTTATCAAATTATCACAGAGCTAGGAAAAGTTTTTTGAGACAGGGCCTCGCTATGTAGTTCAGGCTGGCCTTGAGCTCATGGCAATTCTCCCGCCCCAGCCGCCCAAGTGCTTGGATTATAGGCGTGCACCACCACACCCAGCTATAGTGCTATGAAAGTTTTTAAATGCATAGTTTATTTTTAAAAAATATTTATCTCATTACAGATAGGCAAGTAATTATATTGCTTCTGTCCATGATGGCTGTTAAATGCAGGACCACAGGTTGGGCATGGGCTTCACAACTTAATAGGCAGTCAAACTTGGAAGTTCCTTGAGAATCCATACAGCTTCTCCAGGACTTCGCCAACACTTCAATACCCAAGAACTCTTTAGTGTTATCCTGGACAACGCTTATATTTTTATAACCACAGGTCCATCTTCATATTTGACAAACTGCTGAAGCTAGGGAATCACAGCTTGTTTACCTTTAAATTAAGTGCCTAACTACGCAGCATAAAGTAGATACTCTATTTTTGTTCAACTAGTTTTCCTTTGACCTATCTTCTGCAAATAAGCCATGTGTTTTACTTTTCTAGCAATATTTCATGGAACATGTCTTAGGCACTATCTCACTCCCAGGACACAATATGCAAAATCCACAACTAGTAAGAGAAGAGGTTGATAATGGCTCACATTTTCAGTCCCTAGTCTGCTGGCTTCAAGGCAGGATAGCAAGGGAGAAGGGCGCAGAGGAGAGCTGCTCGACTCAAGGTAGCCAGGACGCAGAAAGACGAGAGAAGCTGGAGGGACATACACCTTTCCAAGTCATGGCCCCAGCAACCTGCTGCCCCTAGCTGAGCCCCACCTCTTAACAGCAAGTCAGCTGTACTGCCATCACTCAAGCACCTTCCCAAAGTTCCACCTACGAGTGCAGGGCATTTTGGTGGGACATCTAAACCAATATAAATTTGTATGTCAATCTCTAATCCATAATCTGATCCCCACAAGGTAAATACCTGCAAGAAACAATGTGTGTGCTGGATTGAAAGGTACCACAGGAAGGCTTAGTGTACTTGGTAATTTTGTGGGGAGGGGGGAGGTACTGGGGATTGAACCTAGGGCCTTTGCAATGAGTTACTTCCCCACCATTTTTTTTTTTTTTAAAGCCAAGGTCTCACTATGTAGTTCAGGATGTCCTGGAAGTCACTATGTGGCCCAGGCTGGCCTCGAACTTTAAGCACTCCTCCACCCTCAGGCTCCCATATGCTGGGATTATAGGCGTGCACCTCCATGCTTGGCTCCTTTTATTTGACATGAGGTTTCAAGTTGCCGAACTACCCACATTGTATCTGGATTTTTGATCCTCCTGTTAAGTCTCCTAGAGTTTGGAGATTACAGGTATACTCTACTATGCCTGGCTGGCTGTGAGATGTTAATGGTATTAATTTTATAACTTTGGAAATATTTGTTCATATAAAACCCAACAAGTTCTAGACAACTTGTAATGGGAGTGCATATGGCAAAGTATTGAGTGATGGGGTAATTTGAAAATGTCTAGAAAACTCATTTCTCTTGCTCCCTTCAAGAGGTGGACTTAGGGCTGGGGATGTACTGTAGAACTAGAACCCTTAGCCTAGCACGCATGAGGCCTAGGGTTCAATCACCAGCATTAGAAAAAATAAAGTACAAATTCCCCCTACAACTGAATATGGGCCAGGCTTAGTGACCCCTTTTCTAATAAAACGAGGCAACAGTAGCATTTCCATGGTTAGGCCACAAGGAGACATTGTGATTTTCTCTCTACTCTCCACGTTCACTCACCCTGGGAAAGCTAGCAGCCATGATACAACACTCATGCTGTCCTAAGGCCCAGCTCACAAGAAGAATTGAAGCCTCTGGCTAATGACTATAAGCACGAACTCAGCTTTACTCAAACGTTCAGACAACAGCTGCCCCAATCTTGATGGAAACCTTATGAAACACCCTGACCCAGGAACACCAAATAAATTGCTCCTAAGTTCCTGATCCAAAGAACTGTACGTTAAATGTTGTTGTAAAACACTAGATATAGGACCGAGGATTTAGCTCAGCGGTTCTGCTACCTGCCTTGTAAGCGCAAGGACCCGAGTTCGACGTCTGGTACCAAGAAAAAAACAAAACAAAAAACCCAAAAACACTAAGTATGGGGATAATTAGTTATATAGTAGACAACTATACAAAGAAAAGAGCCTTTAGGGAGTTTGTGATGCCTCAGGCAAAGTTGAGCAAGGGTAAGGAAAGCTACCGGCATAAATGACTGAAAGTAGTACATGGTGCCTTGTTAAGCGTTCAAAACCAGTTAAATAAGTGAGCTCTGTAAACATGAGAATGTACAAAACATTCTACTAGTTCCTTTTATCAAGATAATATTAAAAAAAGTTGTTAATAGCAACTTTATTGATTCACAGGTGCCAAAAAAAGATGGTAACTGTAATGCATTTCCCATTAAATTTACAATGAAGGTTATAGATAAATTATATAAATCACAAATTTTTTATTCTATACTAATACTATTTAGAACCAAATTGTTTTGATAAATATGTCCAGAGGACAACAGAGATTCTTAATAGATGGCTGAGTCCAAATATGCAAAATATAGCTTCTGGTTTTGACCATGGCGCTTTGAAACTCTCAAACATGCATTAATATATTCTAGTTTTAGGGAAAATATTATACATGGCCTTATCTTATAGTTAGGAAAAAGCCCAAGCTGAATTTCACATACAGTATTTCTTGCCTCTAAAGTAATCTCAAATAAGACTAGAGAACAAAGAGACAGACACTTTTGGGTTAGTATTCCCACGTAATGAAGAAAATACACAATCAACAATGAAACAAAACAAAAAGGAGAACTTCATTATTAGCCAAGATAAGTGGAGATTTTTTGTTTTTTTACAGATCACAGGTATTTTAAACAGATTAGTCATGCTACTTGGGGTGGTGAGACAGATCTGAACACTTATGAAGTGAATAACTTTATTAAGGTTCTGAAGGTGAGTGTTTGGAGGTGCTGAATAAAACACATCACAGATTAGAAACAGGAAACCTACCTCAGCATTTCTGAAAGGCACAATTTATGGAAGGGAGGCCTAGTTTAATAAAACCCTTATTGAATGAACATGAAAAGGAGTAGGCTGTTTTTTTTTAAAGGACAAGACCTTCATAGATTGGCCCCTCAGACTCTGGTGATTCTCGCCTCAAACGCAAATGCTCTAGTGTGTTATGAAAATGTTTGTTAATCTGCTCTGTTTCTTCACTGGACTCAAGGTTTGGGAGGTCTTCTCGAATCTTTTGGATAAGCTGGTTCAAGACCTGAATTGTTACCTACAAAAGAATATGTACAATTTCATGATTAAACATAAGAATCACACAAAACAAGATAATTTAATAATACTGTTTTGAAGAATCTGTGTTACTCTCATCAGTTGCCAGAGTAATTATGAAAAAAAGAGAGAACATGATTCCTAATTCGAGCAACAACTATTGACTATTCATTTCTTTAGAAAGCTAAAATAAAGTATTATGAGAACTATGGATGTAGCTCAGTGGCACAGCACTTGCCTACCACACACGAGGTGCTGGGTTCAATCTGCAGCACTGCAGAAAGAAGTAATATGAACCAGTAAAACAACGACAACAACAAACATGTACTTAGTCTGCTAGTCTCAGTCAACACTATTTATTCTAAACTAGTACATCATGGCAAATCAGACAACTATTTCATAATTTGTGTAAATTAGTGTGTTTTTCAAATGCACAGTGACTAGAGATAAATCTATGTAGGCAGAAAAGGATTTTGGAAAATAAAAGGAACAGTAAGTAATCTACAAATTCTTGTAGACAAAACAAAGTATCACAGTGATAAATGTTTACATATATCAAATCTCAGAGATTGTTTTCACCCTAAGATTGGGGATGGAACCCAGTGTACTCTACCACTGAGCTACATTCCTAGCCTTTGAAAAAAAAAACATTTTTTTTTTTTGGTACCAGGGATTGAACTTTGGTCCTTGCGCTTGCAGGGCAGGCAGTGGAACCACTGGGCTAAGTCCCCAGCCCTGAAAAATTTATTTTGACCAAAAAAATAAGTAAATAAAAGTTCCAGCTGGGGATTTAGCCCAGTGGTGCCACCACCTGCCTTGCAAGCACAAGGAACAGAGTTTGATCTCCGATACCAAAAAAAGTTCCCCTTGGCAAAAAAATTTAAAAATTAATTTTGAGACAGTGTCATGAGGTTGCCCAGGATGGCCTCCAATTTGCAATCCGCCGGCCTCAGCCTCAGCATTACCTACACTTAAGTAGGTCACTTACCGCATCATTTTCCTTTTCATAAAAATAGATATATCTGTTCAGAATTTCTATAAAGAGCTGCACTTGTAGAGAGGGGTCCATGCACTGATTTGCTATTTTCAGAGCTTTCTTCAGGCACTCCATGACCCTCTTTCCTCCATGAAGCTACAATAAAGGGTAAGGGAAATATGGAAGAATTTAATGAACTGCAAACGTCCCATTTTCACACAAAAAATACACTACAGCACTCTTTCATGTTTTAAAGACATACAACAAATTTAAATCCTCTTCAAACTACACAGCTGTATTTAAAAAGTAGTGGTATGAAGCTGCTGTGTATGGATAAGACTCTACTGTCTACTTTGTTTTAATAAAATAAAGCACACTCTGTCAGATTTCCAAGCACCCCAAATATTTCTCTTCTACAGCCCATGGGCATGGCAACCTGACTCTGTTAATAGTCCTGTCTCCCACAACAATGAGCATGACCTTACCTCCTCCCCATTTTTGTCTGTGTTTCTGCCCGACCAGAAGAGATGTGCACAGGTGCTAACAGCTCGGCCCTGATCGGGCTTTTTCAGAAGTTTGGATGCAGCAAGTGCACACTGAGTTCTCAAGGGTTCATGATTCTCTTCACTGAAGCATTTCATCCTCTCAAAAGTACCAATGATCAAGGTAATGGCAGCCAGCTGTGCTTTGGAATCACTGATCTCATCTTCATACAGGGAAAATGCCTGAAGAACACAAAGCAGAAAGAGCTTTTAGGGACTAACCATCCAACCAAGCATTTTCCAAAGTGCTACCTGCCAAACCCCCATTCTGTGAGATATTTTTCAATCCCTTCATATCAGAATATTTTGTAACCTATTTTGGAGAACCATGTAACACAGCCAAGATGGTAAAGATGCCAACAAGTTGTGATAAATAAACCTGTTCCAACTCTAACTTCAAGTTCCTCAAGTGAGCTGACAAAGGAACATTTTTTTCCCCACGAAACTTTTATCAGGACCCACTCTGAAATTTGAAGACATCAATACCCAGAAAATGATCAATTATGCTCCACACTAGTGAATATGACAATAATATGCAAAGGTTCCCAGAGTGGGAAAGCAGTAGTTCAGTGACAAGACTAATATTAGACGCACTACCAGCAGAAATATGAACAAGTGATGGAACTCAGTAAAGCCAGAGAGGAGAACAGATCTTCACCTGGGACATGAACTCATAAGCTACTGTTTCATGATTTTCAAAACCAATTTCTCCAGCAGCGAGTGCTCCTTGAAGGAAAAGTCTTAAGGGTAATTCTGCCAACTCTGCTTTGATCAAAGCACTGATAGTCTGGTGAGCAAATGAAAAAATCTTCTGGCATTTTTTTTCCCATTTGTCATCCTGAAACAAGAAAGAATATTTTAAATTACCTTAAATTCAAGATTAACTTGCTCAAGAATCTTCTCAAAATATCCACTTGAAGTCACCTTTACAACTTATTTGACACGTTTTTTTCTAATCAGAAAAGTGAAACACTTCCAACTGGAGAAAATTAGGGAATTACACAAAAGAATTTTTAAAGTTAAGGTATCCCCAAATCTACCATTCAGCAATAATCACTAGTAACAGTCAGATGGTTTCCTTTATTACTATGTAAATGTAACGTAACTGGAATCTTTGTGTATGTTTTTGTTTTTTACTTTAAATTAGTTCACTGAGCTAAAGCACATGTATTTACAGCACTTGCAAAGCTTGAGGCAGGAGGACCTTGAGGTTAAGGCCAGCCTGAACTACACAGTAAGACCCTATTCAAAATCTAAACAAAGCAAAGCAAAATGAAATCCTCAAAACAAAAAACATTAAAAAAAAAAAAATTAAAGTAGTTCAATGAAATGAGTTGAATGAAATTGGACTCATGCTGCAAATAATTTGAATCCAACTTTCACTTGTCATAAAAATTTTCCTTGTGAAACTAAGTTATGACATTTTTCTTTTTTTTTTTGGTACCAGGGATTGAACTTGGGTCCTTGTGCTTGTGAAGCAGGTGGCAAAACCACTGAGCCAAATCCCCAGTCCCTATGACATTTTAACAATTAGAAAATATTCCACCAATTATATAGGTAAGTACAATTTGAACTACTCTTTTTAAAACAATCTGTAACACCATAATGAATACAAAAAGCTTTATCAAGAGCATAATTATCTCCTGACTATAAGTTTGTAGAATTACTACTTTTTTTTTTTTTTTTTTGAGACAGGGTCTCACTATGTAGTTGAGACTGACCTGGAACTCACTATGTAGTCCAGGCTGGGCTCTAACTCACAGCAATCTTCCTGCCTCAGCCTCCAGAGTGCTGGGATTACAGGCGTGCGCCACCATGCCTGGCAAATTACTACTTTTTTTAATGGTAGTTACATATTGCCAGTTTTCCAAAAAACATTACAGTAATTCACATTCCCACCTTATTAGATGGGAATGAATTCTCATCAACTGCTATTGCTGAAGCTTATTTCTCTTTTCTCGCGTCCAATCTGATTTTTTTCTTTTTGCTACCGGGGATCAAACTCAGGACCTTGCAACTGTGAGGCAGGTGTGGCACCACAGCTAAATACTTGGCCCCCCAATCTGATTTTTTTTTTTTTGGTATCAGGGATTGAACTCAGGTCCTTGTGCTTGTGAGACAGGTGCTGGAACCACTGAGCTAAATACTTGGCCCCCAATCTGATTGTTTAAAAGGTTCACTGTTTAAGCCTAGAACTCTGGGTAACAGAGGTGTCCTAAGTTCAAGATCAGCCTGAGCATCTTAGCAACTTAACACTGTCTCCAAAAAGGGGGGCAAGGAGACACTGGCAATATAGCTCAGCGTGAAGGCATGAGGTTACATATTTTATATGTTTAACCATTCAAATTTGTTTCTGTCGAAGCCATCATTTCTTTTCATTTTCAAAAGATGACAGTTATAGTCTTTGTTAAGAAGGACTAAATGCAATAATCCAAGTACAGTATACAGTTCTTGGCACAATGTATGACATCGCGTAAGTAAATTCTATCTGGTACATTTTTTATCCCAAATATATGTATATATATTTTTTGTTTTCTTTTTTCTCTCTCCCCTCTTTTTTTTTTATGGTACCAGGGATCAAACTCGGGACCTAGGGTTTGCGAGGGAGGTGGAGACATCACTGAGTTAAATCTCTGGCCCTGTGTATATTTTTTTGTTTTATTTTTGAGACAGAGTTTCACTATGTGGTTGAGACTGACCCGGAACTATGTAGCCCAGGCTGGTCTCAAACTCACAGAGATCCTCCTGCCTCAGTCTCCCGAGTGCTGGGATTACAGGTGTGCGCCACCATGTTGGGCTGTATTTTGATTCCCCAGAATTTTTCCACCTTTTGAGTTTGTAATCTTTGGCATCTCTCATTTCTAAGAGTCTTCTGATTTAACATATAGGAGAGGCCATACACTATTTGTCTTTCTCTACCTGGCTAACTTCATTTAGCACAATGCCATCCAAGTTTAACTATATCGTCACAAATGGCAGGATTTCCTCCACTTTTATTTTTTATTGCTCCATGTGTATGTGTATTTTCTTTATTCATTCATTGCAGGACACAGACTGTTTTATATCTTGGCCATTATAAATGGGAGCGCAGACACCTCTTCAATATACTGACTTCATTTCCTTTGAATATGTATCCAACAGAGGTTTACAGAATTACATGGTAGTTCTAATTTTAATTTTAATTGTTTTTTATGAGTTTCCATACTGTTTTCCATAATGGCAAACAGCCTTGTAAGGGTCTCTTATCTCCACACCCTGCCCAATGCTTGTCAACTCTTTATTTTTTTAATAGGCATCTTACAAAAAAATACACTTAGGGCCAGGGATTTAGCTCAGTGGTTCTGCTGAAGTGCCTCACAAGCGCAAGGTCCTGAGTTTGATCCCTGGTACCCAAAACAAACACCCCCCCCCATAGGCATCCTAACAGGCATAATATTTCATTGTAGTTTGGATTTGCATTTCCATTTTGGCAAGTGTTATCGAGCACTTTTTCATATATCTGTTGGTCATTTGTATGCCTTCTTTGGAAAAATTTCTACTCTGCCCATTTTTCAATCAAGTTATTTGTCTTTTTGCTACTGAGTTGTTTTAATTCCTTATATGTATTTTGGGTATTAGTAACTTATCACATAGTTTGCAAATATCTTCTATTCTGTTGGATGTCTCTTTGCTGTTTCCTTTGCTATGCAGCTTTTTTATCTGATACAATCCATTTGTCTATTTTTGCTTTAGTTGATTATGATTTGGTGTTATATCCAAAAAACCATGAACAATGTCAAAGAGATTTTCCCTATGCTTTACCATAGAAATTTTATGGTTTCACATCTTACATTTAAATCTTTAATCCATTTTGAGTTAATTTTTGCATATGCTATAATTAATAGTTCAATTCCATTCTTCTGCATGTGGGTATCCATATTTCTCAACACCAAGTACTGAAGAGACTATCTTTTCCCCACTGTGTATTCCTGGCATCCTAATGAGGATTAAGATTAGTTGATTGTATATGCACAGGCTCTATTCTATGGCACTGGTCTATGTGCCTGTTTTTATTTCACTACCATATCTTTTTGATTACTATAGCTTTGATTTTAATATAGGTCATCAATATAGGCTATTTTTAATGTTACAGTCACAGATATCTTTCCATAAATGCCAGAAAAGAGAATGAGAATGTGGCTTAAAAAAAATTGGCCCAAAAGTGCTATTTATACTGGTAGTTCTATTGAGTAAATACCTTTCTCTATTAGAAAATTAAGTTTACTGAGGTTTATTTATTTCTTAACATAAGCCTGGCTGCCCAACTTTTTAGGTACATGAAATTAAGATGTTTCTTTCAAAACTACACCAGAGAAGACTTAAGCCATGATTCTGAGAAAGAAATGCACTCATAAAAAATTACATAAAACTCATGGCATTATTTAATTACATGCTTTTGTGAAGAAATGATTATGTTATGCTAAGTCATTTCATCGGGCTAAATTAACCGCAAAATTAGAACCTATTTCTATAACTGGATGTATGCAATACCTTAGGTGGTACGTGACCTACCAACATCACTGCTGGCAATACTTACAAGGAGGCGTAATAAAAGTTTCTGAAAACAGGATTTTATTATACAACAGCCCATTTTTGTATATGTTTGAAATTTTCTATGATATAAAACTAACACATACACAGTAGGAAAAAAGAAAAAAAATAGTGACATACTTAAAAGTAAACCCACCACTTTAGAATTCTCTTTGTATCGAAAAGCCAGCTGGTAAGCTGCAAATACCAAAGGCGGCAGTGTGAAGCGAATCCGTTGATTTCCACCAGCTCCAAAATGCTTTCGTGCTGTGTTTAAGATCTGATGAAAAAAAAATTTTTTTTAAATATTTCCCACATTACGATCAATCATTAATAAAATTTAAAAGGGGCTCAAATCATTATACTCACTACCATTTCATGAAAACACACCAATGTACCAGGCCTTATAGTAGCAGGCACTTTACATATTTGTCTCCCTGAATTGTCAAATTCACCCTGGAGACAGATACTAACCCATTTCACAATGGGGAGGCCTAAGGTTTGGGGAGGTCGAGCAAGCTGCCCTGGGTAACTAACAGAATCAGAGACACGGTATATGTAAATTTATTTCCATACACACATGTACAGGTACACTGTGTTGATAAAGAACACAGACTGAAGATAGCAAACAGAGAGGGCCAGGGATATAGCTCAGCGGTTCGGTGGCCTGCCTCGCAAGCGCAAGGACCCGAGTTCGATCCCTGGTACCAAAAAAAAAAAAAAAAGATAGCAAACAGCTAAGGACCAGGTTTGACGGTGGAATGCCTGCCTAGCATGCACCAGTCCCTAGGTTTGAACCCAGCATTGCACAACGAAACAAAACAACTCTAAATACTTACCACCCGTGTGACCCTGGGCAAATTATCTAAACTTAGTCACAAGATTCATTCGAAAATGGGGTAGCATACTCCTAGGGCTGTTAAGATAATCAAATGAGACACGTAGAATGCTATCCATAAACTGACACAATGTGCTTAGAAAATGACGGCTATTATATTGGAAAACCACAGAATCCAAAATTCAGGAAATATTTTGTAATACATACAGCACAGTGTTTGATGTACATGGGTTTTATACATTTTTCTAATGTGGGTGGTGGATAAAATAATGCATTCTCCTTGGGGTAGTCAAAGCCAATGATCCTATACTTAAAGGGCTCTGCATGCAAGCAAAACCACCCAGTCACATGTGGAAGGCACACTTCCTACTACTATATTTGCTATGCAATAGGGAAGGAAAACACACACAAGCAATCTTACACGAAACATAAAATCGTTTAAAATACCCAAACAATCTGGATACGGTGTGTGTACAGATCACACAGTGCACAGAGCACAGTACCCGAGCTCAGAATGTCACTCAGCCAAGTCAAAGACTATCACACTAGCAGCAGAAAGCAGCCTCTTAACATCAGTTATGACCTAAGAATGTCACCAAGGTCAACAGAAGGAAACGATCAGGACTCATCCTCAAATAAAGGATTTCTGCACTACAGCAGCCTAACTGCCTACGCATCCAATAATACATTACTTTTCTCAAACAACAGTTAGACAGCCAGCAAAGTTATCTTTCATTAAAATAATCACCCACTATCAGTTGCCAACACTGTGACTCAGGCAACATGTTTTATTCATTTCAAAGAGATTAACTGTGGACTAGAAAAAAGAAACAACTTCATCTGATTGTTCTGTATCAGAAAGCAAGGGTCAAGGAAAAGGCCAGTGAGTTTTTAAAAGTCCTTCACACAATTTCATTGTGACAAACAAATATAAAATATTTGCAAACCTTGGAAATACAAAGGTGAATATAAGGATTATGTTTCTTGTATTTTAAAGTTTATTATGATTAGCAACTAAACATTCCTAAGAGCAAAACACAGCTAAAAAATAATATGAACAAGGCCGGGCATGGTGACTGCACTCGGGAGGCTGAGGCAGGAGGATCGCTATGAGTTCAAGACCAGCCTGGACTACACAGTGAGTTCGAGGTCAGTCTCAACTACATAGTGAGACCCTGTCTCAAAAACAAAACAAAACAAAAACAAAAACAAAAATGAACAAACAAAAATAATAATAATATGAACATAGTATAATTATGAGACATAGTTTTCTGCAATTCTCAAGAAATTTCCTAGAGAAACTAGAGTGCTACTCATGGTGGCACATACCTGCAATCCTAGTTGCTTGGGAAGTTGAGGCAGGAGGACTACAAATTCAAGGTCAATCTGGACAACTTAGAAAGACCCTTTCTCAAAATTAAAAGGGGTTGGGGATGTGGCTTAGCATTCCCTGGAATCAATCCCTGGTACCACAAAATACATACATACATAAAAATATAAAGAAAGAGGGCCGGGGATTTAGCTCAGTGGCACCATGTCCACCTTGCAAGTGCAAGGTCCTGAGTTCAAGCCCTGGTACAAAATACAAATAAAAAGAAAGAAACTAGAGCACTTCACTCACAAGCCCCATAGACTTACAGTTATTCATTATGTAAACATCCATGGGCCAGAGCCAGACATGGTGGCACATGTCTGTAATTCAAGCACTCCTGAGAGGCTGAAGCAACAGGATGACAAGTTCAAGCCCAGCCTAGGCAACTTAGCATGACCCTGTCTCAAAATTACAGATACATAAAAAGGTCTGGGTTAATCCCCAACATTCCAAAACAAAAACAAAACAATGAAAGTCTATGTACCAGGTGCACCTGTATTCCTAGATACTTTGGAGGCTGAGACAAGGAGATTGAAAATTTGAAGCCAGCCTGGGCAACTTAGTGAGACTAGTAAAAGACTGCCTCAAAAAATAAAAAGGGTAAGGATACAGCACCACTGGGTTCAATCCCCAGTATTGCGAATGAATAAATAAATTAAAAACAAAAACATTGCATCAGGAGCTGATGGAGAATTACGGTAAGAATTAACTCCTACCAAATACTGTTGATCAGGATCCTCAGACCGAAGAAGATGAATGAATCGACCCACAAGGCTCTGCTCATCAGCAAAGTCTTCTGGATCAGGGTCTTCTACAGGTTGATCTGGCTGATCCTGAATCAATGTGGACACCAAGTTCATTATGGAATCCACCTGTAACCCAGGAGACACAAGAAATCCACTGGTGTGAAACCATCAGCATACAAAGACATTTTCAAAAGTGTTTCCAGTTGTGTAAAGTTGCAAAATAATTTAATTTATCTGTAATAAAGTCAATAGTTGCAGGGCAATACATATATACATAAACAAAAGTCTGGAAAGACATGTGCCAAATGTTAATCAACCCTGGTTATTGTCTTTCTTATGGAGTAAGAGGTATACAATAATTCTTCTGTATACATCTTCAATTTTCTAATTATATCATGAGTAAGCCACTCACAATTTTTCTTTAGTATTACCTGCCCTATCTCATATGTCTAACTGCAAAGGTCTAAAATTGTAAGTACATTTTCTTTTTCCCTAAAATAGCTTATTGGTATTCTTACCTGATCTTGAGAGACAATTTCTGTATTATAATCCAGGACATTACTAAGCACATAACAACTCATACTCTTTCTGGACTCGTAGTCAAAGTACTCAAAGAGTGGGTGGAAATGTTTTAATTTCAAGACTGTCAAAATATTGTTATACGTATCAACCGGTATCTTCAAAAGTCTGGTGAGTTCCTTTGAAACCGCACTACTGGTAGCAATACTACAAAAGAAAAACAGTAACTGTTTTATGAATAAATTATTTTTTATATAGACAAGCAGTAGTTGTTTTATAAAAACTTCATTTACACATTAAAAGAAATGGCTCAAATGAATCACAGTACCCCAAAATACACTGATGATCTCCTTTAGGATTAAGAATCCTATCTAAACACACTTTTATTGTTATGTTGATACAAAATATATCATTCTACTAACTCATGTATAGGTTTATGTAGCTGGAATTAAGATGACCATCTAGAATTTGACAACATTTCTAAGGAAACCACTTGAATATATAAATGTGTATATTCATCATGTTAAAAGTTTTTTTGTTTTTTTTAACAGAGCCTTGCTATATGTAGTTCAGGCTGGCCTGGAACTGTGAAGCCCAGGATGGCTTCACACTCATGGTAATTCTCCAGCCTGCTGAGTGCTGGGATTACAGGCATGTGCCATCACACCCAGCTCATGTTAAAAATAAGTACAGGGCCGGGGATTTAGCTCAGTGGTTCTGCCGCATGCCTTGCAAGCGCAAAAACCTGAGTTTGATCCCCAGTACCAAAAATTAAAAAAAAAAAAATCTGGGACCAAAGAGTGCTTTATAAAGATTTTTACTGAAATAAGACTTACTGTTCAAGGTTGAGCTTGTTGAATATCTCCACTGTTGTTTCTAGAACTTTATCAACATAGTCCACACGATCAGGGTAACATTTCATTGCAAGATTAATGAGTGAGACTTGTAAAGATACTACATCCTCTGAAGGCATGTCTTGTCTAGACTGGAATGTTTAGAAAATCATACAATTATAAAAGGACTTACCAGGAGAGAAGGTTTAAAGTTTTAAGAACACAGAAAAGCCACACAGACCTGTATCACTGTAGCCACCTGCTGTGAGAATATATCAAAAAGCTTAATATCTGCTGGGATTCCAGGCCCATCTTCACGATGAGCAAATAAAGCTAATCTAAAAAAGAAAACAGCCTTAATTTTAAAGATAGAGATCTTGGCAGTGGGATCACATTATATTCTTATTGTTATACTAAGATAACATATTCTTATTGTTTTTCTGTATTTTCTACAAGCATATTTCTCTTAAAACATTTTTAAAAAATTATTTTAAAGAATGGTTTTGAATGTACTGATTATTCCCTTATTTCTTTTTCTTTTTTTTTGGGGGGGGTACCTGGGATCAAACTCAGGTCCTTGTGCTTGCAAAGCAGGCACTAGAGCCTTACTGAGCGAAATCCTCGGCCCCTCCCTTATTTCATTTTTAACCAGTTTTGTCAGTGATACTTTATTTCATCAGCTTTCTTACTTTGCATCACACTGAACAGATTTTCAAAAGGCTGATTATTCCCAAACCTTCTGAAGCCTAAACATACAGATATGGGCAGAAGTGCATTAAATGTAATTGACAGCCATGATTTAAATAAATAATCTTTACAAGATAAAAAGAAAGCAGACTATTTAAAAATATTTAAGATTTTTACTATTGCAAAGTTTTAAACAGAACTTATTCCAAAAGGAATAAAGTTAGCTTTTATTTCCTACATCTCAAACAATCAAGCATCATGTCTATTCCATTATCCTTTGTCAGGGTCCTAACTATATCAACATTTTATTACACAGAGAACCACCACTACTAGCTGGGGTAGCTAGGTGACATTACATCCTACACAGATAATCAAGATTACTAGCGTCTTTTAAGAGTGAGTCCAATAAGCATGTAACGTTTTTTTCTTTTAACAGTGATACTGAAGATTGAAGAGAGGGTCTCTGCAGACATTAAGCTTCATCTCCACCCACCCTACCCGTCATTTTTAAGACAGGATCTCACTACGTTGCTAAATTGCCCAGGCTGTGCTTGAACTTGGGTTTTCCTGCCTCAGCTTCCAAAATGCTGAGATAATAGGCATGCAACACCACGTCCAGCTAGAATGTAACTTCTGCTGTACAGGTAAGAGGATGGAGCTGTTAATTTGGAGAATTCTGCTACATAAATTCTCAGACTTTAAAACCAGTAATTCAATTAGTTGTAAAACAAAACAAAGAGTATTTGTAGAAATAAATAATAAATACATTATGGTTTAGACCTAGAATGTCCCGTGGCCTCCTATGGTCAGAGGCTTTCGGAAGTGACCAGATGATGGGGGCTATAGCTGCCTTGCTGTCAGAACAGATGTGGGGCCCAGTTAGAGGTGAGTCACTGGGTTCATGACCTAGAAAGGTCTCTCTCTCTTCCATTTCCGGTCTGCCGTAATGTGAGCAACTTTCCTCTGCCCAGGGCCTTTCACCATGCCTTCCTGCCCCGAAGCCTGACAACTACGGATGAAAAACATGAGCCAAAATAAACCTCTCTTCCTTTAAGTTGAAGGTGTTAGGTATTTTGTCACAAGGACAAGGAAAGTAAGACAATCCACTTGGTTTTCTGGTTCATATCAATACGTATCCTTATATGCAGGGCATACATGATATGGGACATACATTACTGATATTATTATGTATCATATATTACTACTGCCATGTAGCATGCATGCCAAGTAGTCACTCATTGGAGCCATTACAAAAGATGAAGTTTTGTATTTTCAACCAGGCAAAAAAGAAATAAAATTTAAAGGATATTTAGTAAATACAGGTAACAATTCTTTTTTTAAAATGTGATTAGAAAAATTATTATTACTTGAATTTATTTTTTGGGGGGTGGAGCATTCTGTCATTAAGCTACATCACTAGACTTTTTTTATTTCCTTTGAGATAGGGTCCTGGCTAAGTCGGGGCTAGCCCTGAATCTTCTATCCTCCTGCCTGAGCCTCCCAAGAGCTGGGATTACAGGCATGTACCGCCACACCCAGCTACCTCAACTTCTTGTTTTTTAAGCAGTGGCAAAGTTTATTTGAAAAAGTAAAAGTGAAGAGTGAGAGACAAATTGGCTCTGTGGAGTGAGCTTGAGCAGCGTAAAAGAGGAATAAAGGAAGACAAAAGAACACCATGGAGAAAGCAAGACAGCTATCCTGAGGAAAGCCAGGACAGCGAGCTCTTCTTGGTGCCACTTGAACATTAAATCATCTATATCTTATGGTTACTTAATGAAGGAAAGTAAATCAAGTCAGTTCCCATTAAAAGTAACTTACATCATGGTGAAGTTTCACTCTTCAATGGTTTTTGGGCTCCTAAGATTGAAATGTTTGATCTGTACAACAATGTCTATATGTCATTTAAACATATACATTAAAAATACTACTCGTAGCTGGGTGTGGTGGCGCACGCCTGTAATCCCAGCATTTGGGAGGCTGAGGCAGGAGGATCGCTGTGAGTTTGAGACCAGCCTGGGCTACATAGTGAGTTCCAGGTCAGTCTCAACTACATAGTGAGACCCTGTCTCAAAATTAACAAAACAAAAAATAATACTCATCTCTATACATCCTTCACAATTAGTTAAACCTCTTTCATGCCTAAGTGAAATCTCTTTCATATCTACTAGATATTCCTACTAACAGAGCTAAATTATAGTATAATTACATTAAAAGCATTGATATAAGAAAAATAAATGATTCATGAAAATGTTTTAAATTCATTATTCCTATGTCAGAACATGTGTGCTCCAGTATTGGAAACCTTACCTATCAATTAAAGCAATGATTATATTTTTCACGTTTACATTCTGGTGTAACTCAGCACAGGCCCGAAGAAAAGGATTCAAAGTCTGGAGGTGGAATTCATCAGGGAAAACCTAAAAATAAAATGATTTATACAAATAAATGTATCTCAGGTAATATTCTGAACTCATGTATGGCACTTGTGGATAAAAAATTTAATGTTATACAGCTATATCCAAATACATATATTATATATAGGGTGGTGTTTTTTTGGTTTTTGGTACTGCATATCAAACTCAGGACCTTGCACTTGGTGAGGCAGGCAGTGGCACCACTGAGCTAAATCCCCGGGCAAATATATAGTTTTTTAACCTCTTTAAATATAGCAGTGAGTACTCCATTAAACAAAGTATACCTATAAAGCAAAGAAGACCAAAAAAAAAAAAAAATCCATTTAAGAGATAAAAGAAATGCTGCCACCAACCTGAATAATACACTCCATGAGATATTCTTGAGCCAAAGCATCCCTACAATTCACAACCTGCTCCAATATGCCAGTTAGAACAATCTAATAAAAGAGCAAAGAAAAACATGTTATAGTAAAAAGATCATTTTCAAAATTCTAAGCTATGCCTCCAATAATACACTGAACTAACTTGAAAAATTTTTCAAATTTTTCAGTTTTAAACTTTAAAATTTCACAAATGTTTTAAATAAAATTCTGGGTTCCTGTTTAATACAAAATTCATATAAAAGGAAGCTTTTGCTATATTCCTAGCCTTCCCTGTTTTTGAAAATAAGTTTATTGGACACAGCCCTGTCTATTTAGTTTCCTATTGTCTGCTTTTGCATGTATCTGCTGAGCTTATTTGCTACATACCATATCCCTTCCAAAGCCAGATCATATTTACTAGCTGGCTCTTTATAGTGTATTTGTTGACCCTTCATTCCCCTCTACTGATTTGCAACTGTTCATCACTCTCCTTTAAGTATTCATCCATATTAAAATTTACATGAGTCAGATGACTGGTCATTAGAGAGATGCAGATGAAAACAACACTGAGATTCCACCTCACCCCACAAAGAATGGCTGCTATCAAGAAATCAACCAATAATAAATGTTGGCGGGGTTGTGGGGAGAAAGGAGCCCTTCTCTATTGTTGGTGGGAGTGCAGACTGGTGCAACCACTATGGAAATCAATATGGAGATACCTCAAAGAGCTGGGACTAGAGGTTCCATTTGACCCAGCTATCCCTCTTCTGGGTATCTTTCCAAAAAAATTAAAGGAATCATACCACAGTGATATATGCACACCCATGTTTATAGTGGCACAGTTTGTAATAACTTAATCTTGGAAACAGCCCATTTGCCCATAAGTTGGAAACTGGATAAAGAAGATGTGCTTTTTCTATTAAAATGGAATACTACTCAGCCATAAAGAATGAGAAATTAGATTCATTCATAGGAAAATGGATGTATATTGAGGTTATACTCCTAAGTGAAATAAACAAGTCACACGTGTAAATACCGAATAGTTTCTCTGGTGTGAAAAACTGTAACAGTACATAAGATCCTAATGAGATAACTGACCATGTGAAATAGGAAGAAAAGGGCTAAAGATGTAGGGAAAATGGGAAGGGTAGGGGAAAGGTAATAAGGGAAAAGAAAAAAATATGACAAAATGAAAAAATGGAAATAAAGTGTGTGTAAATGGGGGGGGTGTTACAGGAGGGCAGGGACAAGGGGAAGAAAAAAAATTTAAATGAGTCAGTACTATACCATCTTTACTTTAGTGCAGATCTTGAATGCATGCTGTCCAGTACTCCAATTTTGCTCTTTCAAAACCGTGGCTGTTCTAGCTAGGGTCTTTGCTTTTTCATATAAATTTTATTGAACAGCCTGCTGATTTCTACTAAAAAACCTGCTGGGATTATTTTTAATTAGCACATATTTGCTATACATCGTGCTCACATTTATCATAGGGAGTTTGTACTTGTACATAATATATCTTAATCCTTAATTTCTTCTTTCCCATTCCCCTCCCCATTTACAAAAGATGTTTCCATTTTTTTTCCTATTCATTTTTAATCCCTTTTCCCTTCTTTCCCTCTCCCCTCCCATTTCCCATCTCATTTGAACATGTTCTTCCTCCATTTTTGCTTGTGTACCCTTAAGAGTTTCTTATGCAAGAGATTGTATTATCTCACTTAAAGTTATGGTCTCAAGGTATGTAATTTACCTACAAATGACTCAAGTTTATCTTTTTTATGGCAGAGTAGGTCTCCATTGTATATAAACACCACATTTTCTAACACTTGATCTTAGCCAAATGGCTGAGAAGCGATCCACATTTTCTTTATATTTAACTGTTGATGGGCATATGGTCTGTTTCCAAGATTTAGCGATTATAAACTGTGCCTGCTGGGATTTTAAACTGAGATTCCACTGAATCTGTAGGTCAATTTAAGGAAAATTGCAATTTGGACAATACTGACTCTTTTGATCAACAAACATGATGTATCTTTTAGCATTTTTTTTTGGTACCTGGGATTGAACTTGGGTCCTTGTGCTTGCAAGGCAGGCAGCGGAACCACTGGGCCAAATCAAGCCCCGTTTTTGTTTTTTTTGAGACAGCGTCTGGACTATGCAGCTCAGGCTGACCTTGAACTCACTATGTAGCCAAGGCTGACCTTGAACTTGCAGTGATCCTCCTGACTTAGCCTGGAGAGTGATGGGATTACAGGCCTGCGCCACCATGCTCAGCTCTTTGCATCTTCTTTGATAAAATCATTTTCAAATGCTTTCAATGAAATATTACTTAACAAAAGCATCTTAAAAATCAGATTTCAGTTTATATTGTACAACCTAAGAAAGGTGACAAGCAAAAACATAAACCTGTTTGTAACGTTCCACGTTTACACCTTCCAACTGACTGAGGCGCACCAGATTTGTCCCTACTAAAATTCTCAGCTCTTGTCTTTCTCGTTCTCTTTTTTCTCTATCTCGGCTATGTCCTTGATGCTGCATCCGAACCCACAACTTGTTCATTTCTGCAAAGTTGAGTAATACGAAATCCATGGAATCACTGATATCCCCAGTTGTTTCTTCACTGCAAAGAAAAAGTTGGGAAAATCCTTATATAGAATGCAAACTCTGGACCAACTACTTAGTACTATCTCCTTTACTCACTTCCTTTTTATGCTTGTAAAATGCCAATGCTTTATAAAAACCACTTCAACTTAACTGGCTTCGTATTAATTCACAAGGGAAATAACAAAAACCAGGGAGAGGACACAGTACAAGAAAAGGGAACAAATCACTCTTCCCAACTTCCTAACCTGGGCCAATTAGAACAGTTCTTATGCCAACTTCCTCAATTCAAAAAGCCTTAAAAACTAACACTTTTGTCCTAACTGTATTGTTTTCTAACGACATCACCCCTGTATATTTTGTTTTCACTTGCAATGTAAGCTTCTGAGGAAAGAAATTATTTCCTACTTTATTTTTTTGATATATCCTATATGCTTAAAATTAAGAGTACAATTGTAATAAAGCAAATAACCACATCATTTTATTCACAGTTAAATTTTTACCTTTTCTGTACTATTTAACTTCTTAGTTAAATACATAGTAAAACTGTTATACTTTGGGGCCAGGGATTTAGCTCAGTGGTTCTACCACCTGCCTCACAAGTGCAAGGTTCTGAGTTCGATTCCCGAGAGCCGCCCAAAAATGTTATATTTTTTCTTTTAAATAGGAATTACTATAGACACTAAAAACCATGATAAAGATATATTAGAAATAAAATGGATAAACTTTTTTTTAAAAGGGAATTAAATTCTTCGATCTAGGGACCTGTCACATGAAGAGCTTATCCACTGTTTGGAGATAACAGCTAGCGGACCATCTGCCACATTTCTGTGGGGGAAAATACAGTGGACTTGGACACTGGAGTAGTGGTTACACAAGAGATAAGTCTTTATGAATGACCTATTTTTTCTGTAGTTAGTCTTTCTTTTGTGTACACAGGTCATTAAAATTACTTATATTCAAGGGTAAACAGCAGACCATAAATTATAAAAACTGTTGCAATTGTAAAAGTCATACTTTTCAAGGAATATTTAATATAATGTTCTAAATTATATCAAATGAAAAAAGCAGATTCCAATACTCCAAAAACACAATTTGCATTAATTAAGAAAACATTTTAGATAATCCACATATTTTGAAGAGTTTTATTACTGCATTGGAAATCCCCACACAAAATGCTATGAGACACTGATTGGGTAGGAGAACTACTGATACTTATATTCTTATTTATGTATACTTTTCTACACTTTAAAAATAACTTATTATCAAAAAATCACAACTAAACCAAGAAAGAAAATTAATTACTCTGTTGGCTCTCCTTCATCAGGTAAAATGTTTCTGGTACACTGAAGAAGGTAATTTCGAAGAAACAAACCCCTCAATGGATGCTGCACACCACGGCACATTTCTACCAAATCTTTCAAAATATCTTTCCTGGATTGAGGAAATGACTTGACATACACAACTCCAACTGTGATCAACAGATAACTAGGAGAATAATGAAAAGACATCTAATTAGAAATAAAATATTCAAACCAAGAATATGATCACATCCAAATGCACTATATAAAAACATATTAAATAAACAAGACACAGATCATGTTGCTTTCTCCTGAATTATGAAGAAATACAATCTGATTTAAAATATAACCACTAAAAATATAAAAAAACAAGTCAAATATCCACTGAATTTTTTAAAAAAGTAAAATATGCACTATGTGTGTGTATATATATATATATAGAGAGAGAGAGAGAGAGAGAGAGATAGATAGATAGATATGCAGGATGTTTGAAGACCCCAGTGGATAACTCAAACTGCAAATACAGTATAGAAAATTTACTTTATAAATTAAGACACAGAAAGAGATTAACAATAAAAAATAAAATAATTATAATACTATACTAAAACAAAAGTTGTTTGTGCAAATGTGGTCTCTCTCAGTATGTTGTACTCACCCTTCTTGTGATGATGTGAGATGATACAATGCCCATGTAATGAGATGAAGTCAGGAGAATCATATGGGTGTTCTGGGTAGGGTACTCAGTAAGGTTTACTTGAACACAAACACCATGCTAACATGTGAGCAGATCCGATAACCCAGACCTCTACTGACTAACAGGTGGATGGCATATAAAGTGCAGATGTGACAAAAGGATGATTTACATTCCAAGTGAAATAATCCAAGATTTTACACTACTCAAAACAGTATGCAACTTAAAATTTAGTTATTTCTGTAATTTTTCATTTAATATTTTTGGACCCTGGTTGATGGTAAATGAAACCTTGGATAAGAGAGGATTCCTAGAGGTAGATTTTGTATATAAATATATGTATCACCCATAAACATACTAGGAAGAAAATACCTGCAATGATATTAATTTTTCTAGTAGTCAAAAACTTTAAAATATCACATCTATTTTTTTCTATTACTAAAATTCCTAAAATATCTCTATGTATCTACCATATATCTATAAAATACAAATTTACTCTAAAACTTTTAGTTAAATTATTAAATACCCTTAAATTTTTTTCCCCCCAAAATGATGTAGTATCAAGTGGGAAATGCAGGTAAAAAGGTTCTTAGATTCCAATTACTTACAGCCTTGGGATAATGTTTCCAGCATATTGTACAAGTTCATAGAGATCTGCCACTTTCCTTCCTTTAGCAAACTCATCTGTCAGGTAGACCTCCAAGTAGTGCAGTTCATCAGAAATAGCCATATCTTTAAATTATGATTAAGGACTCAAATAAAGACAAGCCAACCTAAACAAAACTCCATGTGGACTGGGGATTTAGCTTATTGGTGCCACCGCTTGCCTTGCAAGCACAAGGTCCTGAGTTCAACCCCCAGAACCACGCCCCCAAAAAACAAAACAACAAAAGGACTAAACAAAACTCTGTAACTAGTTAAAGACATTAAAACTATCAGTTAGCTATCTTAAATTTAGTCTTCTAAGGGAGTGTTTAAAGTGAAGACAGAATTTCAGTAGGCTTTTCTTAAAAGCCAGGAGTTCAGGACCAACCATGGAACACAAAACAAGAACCCATCTCTAAATGAGCAGATGATGGATGGATGGATGGAAGGATAAACAGTAGACAGAATTTTTAACCAACCATGGGCAACACAGCATGATCTCATCGCTGAAGAATGAATGGACAAATAAATAGATATTTTAAAGGATATCCAGTGAAACAAAGCAGCAAATACAATGGCTTTCTGTCAAATTGCTGAAGGATTTTGAAATAGCAAATGATTGAATTCCTTTCCATTTCTGAGACCTGACTAACAAAAGAACCAGCTGCCTGATGGTCTCATTATCCTTCAGGAAAGGTCTAAAATTTATGTTAACAACCCATTTGAAGAAGTTTAAGCATAGAGCTCAGGGTTTAGCAGAATGCCTACTTAGCATGCACAAACCCCCAGGTTCAATCCCTCGTAGAACAAAAAAGTTTAACCATTAAAAAAGTTATTCTTAGTATGTCCACATGAATATTTACATTTAGTAAAGATAAAGAACATTATAATTGCTGAAAAATTTAAAAGAGAACAAACAAAATGAGACTCTCAAGTATGACCCAAATGCTTATTTTTCAACATTCAAAAGATACAAAGTTCATAGTAGCTCTTTGGTGATAACATTGAAGTCCGGAGTTCACCAAGCATATTAGATGCATGTTTCAGAGCATCCATAAGCTTGGTTTTATCCTACAGAAAAACCAAGAGAAATGCTAAGAACAGTTAATTTAAACAAACATTTATCTTGGTTATATAAACTCTTTAAGTTAAGAGATTACTACATAGTGTTAAAAGTATGCAGTACTGGCCCAGGGATGTAGCTTAGTAGCACAGCTGCCTGCCTCACAAATACAAGGTCCTGAGTTCAATACCCGGTACCAAAAAAAAAAAAGTACACAGTACTTCAATTATTTTAATCACATAAAACAATGTTAGTTTCTCCTTGCCTTCTCTCTACTGGAAAGAAGATGCATTATTCCTCACCCAGGCTTCAACATTTGGCAAGACTAGGATTACACATCTAGGACTGTAAGCTCCTTACTGTAACTAACTTTTTTAATCTCTAGAGGTTAGGAAATTAGCTCCATTAATTCACATTTCAATTGCAATCAAGAGGGCTGGCATACTACTGGTTCTGAAGTGAGATACTATCCTGACAATGGCTTTGTCACAGGTTAAGGACTCTTCTGAGTGACTATCCATGAACTCTGCTTTTCTCCTATGTTCTTCAAATCCTCACCATGTCCATTTAACTCATAAATATTAACAATTCCTTGAGATAAAGCAAACATTATCTATAACAGAAAGAGAAGAAACAAGCAATAGCAAACCCACTTTTTTGCATTCCAAGGCAGTTACTTTCTTTAAAAATGTGCTAAGAAACCAAAAAAATTAAGATATAAGAACATAATCCTATACTTCAGAAAATATAAGATACTTTACAAAGGTAAGATGGTATCACCTGCACAATTTATGGCTTAAACCACCAGCCTATTTGGTTCAATTCCTTAAATTTAATCCCCTGAAGTAATCTGTCTTTTAGAACATGGAAATATATATAAATGGGGTAAGAGTAATTTTAAAGCTAGTTTTTGCAATAAATATATTTATTCAAGATGAAAATTAAAGACTTCAAGATATCTAGAGAGTAGTTGAATAATTCAAAGTGAATACATATAGGGTCAGGGATTTAGCCCAGGGCACAGAACCTGCCTGGCATGCATGGGGTCCTAAATTTGGTCCCTAGTACCACACACAAAAAAAGAGGTGTGTGAATACATATAGATCCATTCATTCATTCAACAAATATTTATTGAGTACACATTATGTGTCAAGTACTACCCTGATTTGAGGCACTGAACCAAAAAGGCTAGTAATTCAAGTCAGATAGTAGTGTAAATATGCAATGATGATACATGAGTGTGAATAAAAGGCAGGGACTCTTCCTCTCTCATTCCAGTAGAGCAGATAATCCCAACCATACACATATTTGTGAGTAAAGGGCTCTGTTGAAATAGCTCACGCAGGGGTTAAAGAAGTGGTTGTGAAAACAGATGCAGTAGACACTGAAAATTATATTTACTAGAAGCAGCAGTGCTACACAACTTTAGAAAATGCTGATGCTTCCTTAGGAAGCTGTAGTCTACACCTGTATCTGTCACACTTTCACTCTTACCAAGCATCTCTTCATCTGGAATGACTGAACTTTTACAGCCTGTATGGCTTCATCCAAGAGTTTCTCCTGTTCATCCTGGGGTGACTGCTGTGTCGTAGGCTGAAAACATTAAAAAAAATACTTCCATTAATGTTTCTTAAATATTTAATCTTTCATGTCTATAGTTCTAGTCTCAGAACTATAGAAGACTTTCATATAACCCTCATTCCAGTTCTGTATCTCAAACCAATGTATCAAATTTTGATAGGGCCGGGGATTTAGACCAGTAGTTAGTTCTGCTGCCTGCCTTGCTAGCACAAGGTCCCGAGTTCAATACCCAGTACCAAAAACAAAAAACAAAAATTTTTTTTCACAACTATTAACTGACTTTAACATCCTTGTAGTAGGTTGGCTTCAGAGGAACTTCTGGTAGTAGCTCATAGCTGTGTTGTGCTACTATGCTCTGAAACCAACCAGAACATAGCCATCTATCCAACCTAATCCTTGTGATAGGTAATAGTTTTACTCAAATCTCTAAAATCCTCTCTTTTCCTCCCAATTATTTTTCATCAGCATTTCAGGTTATTCTTAGGCGATATATAACAAAAAAATAAACAATTTGGAAATAAAATAACTGAAATTAATTCTTAGTGACTTAGAGTAGAAAATGACAAAGAATACGCTTCCCAAATACTGAGTTTATACCATTTAAAATATATAAATACAGCTATAATGGACACAATATATGTATTCTTCTCAGCCTTCAGCAAAAATCTGCTTGCAAAATGAATTAGCTCTTCCTTTCAAGTAGAATCAACTACTCCCTAATACTATATTAATAAGTTTACATTTTTATCACAGCATGCATCACCTTATAATTATAAATGATGGTCATTTTTAAGTGTCTGGGATCCAATGTACATAAATATTTAATGTATGCGTAAGCTTCTTTTAGAACACTTTATTATATATATTTACTAACAATGACTAAATATCAAAAGATGAATGCATAAACAACTTATAGTACATATGTATGATGAAATATTATTCAACCATACAAAGAAATGACATAACCAAACGTGGTGGCACATATCTATAATCTTAGCATTCTGGGAGGCCAAGGCAGGATGATCTCAGATTTGAGCACAGCCTGGGCAACCTAGCAAGGCTGTCTCAAAACTTAAAAAAATAAAAAATAAAAGGGCTGGGGACGTGGGTCAGTGCAAAAGATCTAAGTTTGATATACAGTTCCAAAAAGGGGGTGAGGGTGGGGATTCAATATTGATAGGTGCTACATGAATTCATCTAGAAAACATGTTAAGTGAAAGGAGCCAGACTCAAAGGGTTGCATATTGTATGATTCCATTTATTTGAAAATTCCTGAACCAATATATCCTCCATAAAGCAGACCAGTGGTTACCAGGAGGGATGGTGGAGTTATTGCTTACTGACTGCAGGGTTTCCTTCTGAGGTGATTTAAAAATAGATTAAAAATCACTGAATTGTCCACCTCAAAATGGCAGATCTTATGTCAATTTCAGCTTAATTTTTAAAAAAGAGAAAATGCCTATTACATAATGAGTTAAAGGTAGAAGGAAAGACTTACCCATAAACATGAAACTATAATCTGGTCTACTTCATATCTAAGACAATCAAATCAATATTTAATTAGCAAATTAACAAAAAAATATAAACTACACAAAATCCATTTCCAAATTACAACTGCTTGTAAAAACTAAAAACTTTCTCTTGGTTTAATTTTGGAAAAAAGAACAATAGTAGCTGAATAATGAGCAATGCTGTGTACCTCCCTTTATTACTTTTTGCATGCCAAACTTGAATAAACTCAGTTTCCCCATAATCATTCTTCTTGAGAAGCATAAATTCCAAAGGAAAACTTAGTGTCTTTTATCTTTAAAAGAACATTAATTTATATAGAACTATTAATATAAAATGGTGGTTTCAGAGGTAAGAAGGACACCAACATCATAAAATAGACTATTTATCATGGGCCAGCCCGTGATAAGCCTCTGCTAGTGAAATCAGACTACTGCCTGAAATTTTTTGGGCTCCTTACCTCTGCGTAAGTTTAACAGTAATTAGAATCGACTGACAATTCATTACATTGAAAGGTCAACTTAGACATAAGAAATGTTGCATGACATTTTATAAGAGCAATATTTACAACATTCACTGTTACAGTCATTACCACCTTCCACTTCCAGAATTTTCATCTTTCCAAACATATCCATTATCTATGTATCCGTTAAAAGTATTAACACACCCCACATCCTTCCTCTAGTAATTCTTTTTTTTCAGGACCTTGTGCTTGTGAGGCAGGCGTGGTGTCACTGAGCTAAATCCTCAGCCCCTCAGGAAATTCTTGCATGTTTTTTTGTACCGGGGATCAAACTCAGGACCTTAAACTTGCAAGGCAGGTGGTGGCACCACTGAGCTAAATCCCCAGTCCAGAAACTTTTTTTCCAAGTTTATCTACTCTGAATACCTCACATTAGTGAAATCACATATTTTTCCTTTTGTGTCTGGCTTATACCATTACCATTTAGTGGAATGTCTTCACAGTTCATCCATGTTGTAACATGTCAGAAGTTCCTTTCTTTTTAAGGCTAAAAGTCTACTGTACACTACATTTTGTTTATTCATCCACCCCATTAATGAACCTGTGTTGTTTCCACTTTTTGGCAACTATGTATAATAATCTTTATTATCTAGCAAAAAAAAAAGATCATAAACACATCCATATATTTGTATAGAATGGCTGGAGTCTGTTCTATAAACTAATGATTAAAATTTTAGCAAAATTCTTTTGTTTTGCATCAAATGAGCTTAAAGTTACAAAATGCAGAAAATTATGGAAGAAAAATCAGTACAATGTAGGCTACAAAGGAGAACACGAAGCTATAACAAATACATTTATACAAGTTACTGGGACAGTTCAATTATGCTACAATTGGCTATTCTAAAGGCTACTTGTGCTGTCCTTGGAAATGTTCCACAAGAGAAACAACTGAATATCCTATCATTAAACACAAGACAGGTAACCAGTATCTCCTCACGTGTGAAAATGAGTTTTTTCCATGTGCAAATGATTCTAAACAGCGCATCAATCAGAGAAACACTATAGAATCAAGATCTAATTAACATGTGTGCTTAGGAGCATTTTAGCTTGACAGCTGCAAACAGCCTCCCAAATCTACAGTTATGAGTTGCAAAGAAAGTAAGGCATCGTGAACTGATCACTTACAAAACTAGTCTCTATTTAAACAATGTGCTTTTGCTTCCTCATCTATAAAATGGATATACTAAGGGTATTTTCCCCATTACGAGAAATAATTTCCACTCAATGTAGCAAACTATCTGTTGGTGGATTTCCCCATCTACATATTGCATGTGTGCTCTAACAATGCAATGCAAATCAACTGTAAAACGAAAACTAATCCCAAAGATACACGATTTCTATCATGTTAATACAAGTGCTATTTAAAAAATGATGATTTGGCACAAATTCATTTGTAGGCAGCTGGTCATGGTGGCACATGCCTGTAATCCCAGCACTCAAGAGGCTGAGGCAGAAAGATCCTGAGAATAAGGCCGGCCGAGGCTACAGAGGGAGACCCTGTCTCAAACAGAAAACCCCAAAACAAAACACAACAATTTGTAGGGGGAATTGAGGATGATGACAGGATGGGAACTTTAAAACAGAACTTGGGCTGAGGATATAGCTCAGTTGTAGAGTGCCTGCTTGCCTAACAGGCTCAAGGACCTGGATTTGATCGCCAGCACTGCAAAGAAAAAAACAAAACGAAACAACCAGAAAGAATACAACAACAACAAAAATCTATAATCTGAATATCAAATTTGTACTAATTTACCAGTACCCAGGCTCATCTATTGGCAGTGTCCCTTCTCCAGATGAATTTCTGACTGACTTTCTTATTGTTTGTTTACATGCTACTTCTTGTAGTCTTTCCCGAGGTCCCCAGGCAAAACTCTATCCCTCCCTGACAAGAAAGCACTGAGTTGACAGTGTTATGAAGCAACCATTAGCCTGCATTACAGTTAAGTTCCACAAGCATGTCTCTTTTACCAGTTCATAACTGGTACCTAGAACAGTCCAAGACACTGAAAGCACACAAGATATTTGATTTGCTGAACAGGATTCTAGATTTTTAGGACAGGGAAGAGCCAAAAAGACCAACACCTGTTTTCAGACAAAAGTGAGATTCAAAGACTGAGTATTTGCCAAGTCATAAAGACAGTGGCTGTGACAGGACTGATATATATGCAGGTTTCCTTTCCCAATAAAATTCATGTGGACAGGACTATGTCTGGCTCCCAATCTGGTTTGCCCAACACAGAACAGGAGTGTACAACAGAACCTTAATTAAGTGCTTTCTATTAAAATGTCAACACATAAGTGCTGAGAACAAATCCCTAAGTTAAAATTTTACATCGATCATACATCAATTCTCAATTGTAAAAATTCTGAGAAACGAAAAATATCACCTCTTAAGGCAATATATTATATGCAAGTATCTGTGTCCAAGATTTAATCCTCGTTTCTATTATTAACACATTTAAATTAAAATCTGGGCCCAGGCTTACAGGGTCTCAGAAGCTTGTCTACAAAGAATGAATAATGAGATAATTAAAACTGGCATACTAACATCCAAAAACAATATTTACACAGTGCAGACTACACCAAACGCTAATAAGATGCAAGTGACAACTTGCCTCCGTGGAAACTAAACACAGAATTCACATTTTGAGGAAGTTCAAGTTTATTGGCCAATGCCACAGCGGGATTTGCTGCCCTAAGAATGACAAATTTCATCAAGTATAATATTTGGATCTCATCAACAAGTAGACAAGTGAGCCAGGGTCCCTAATGAACAAACGCGAACGGAAACAAGCAGTCTTTTTTGAAAGCGTCAGGATTAGAGGAAGGAAAGCATGTATTCTTCCAGGAAATTCACGGAAGCAGACCCTTAGAATTCGCTGACAAACACTACAGCAAAAGGAGGAAAAGAAAGGCAGAAACCACTACGATCCCCCAGGAAGATACTTCTTGCCAAGAAAATGCCGTGAGGACCCGCTGGACACAAACACCAAGGTGGAAACGCACCAACTGGGCGGGTCCCGGGCCCCCTCGGAGGCTCTGGCGTCCCGCACGCCCCCCGACCCGCCCGCAGCTCGGCTCTGGCACTCGGGCTCCGCTCCAGGAAGGGAAATAGGTGATTTCACTCTAGAGGAAGCCACACACCTTCAAACACCCAGAACCTCCCAGGCAAGACCTCCCCTCGGGTAGCGGCCGAAAGCCACCGCCCACCGCGGCCGGGATCGCCCTGCTGCGGCCTCCCTCGCCTGTCCCCTATCTGCAGGCCAGGCAGGGTTGGTCTTGGCCTCAATCGCGTGGCACGGCCTCTGCTCCACCCGTAGGACCCCAGACCGGTGGGTCGAAACCTGGTCTGCAGGAAGGGTCAAGCAAGGCCCGCCGCCGCCCCCGGGATCGCCCTGCTGCGGCCTCCCTCGCCTGTCCCCTATCTGCAGGCCAGGCAGGGTTGGTCTTGGCCTCAATCGCGTGGCACGGCCTCTGCTCCACCCGTAGGACCCCAGACCGGTGACCGGTGGGACCATGGCGACTCCAGGAGCACGCAGCAAGGAGCACCCACCGCGCAAAGAGCCTCCGGAGTCAGGTGACTGCGAGGCTCCCAACCCCGCCCTCCCTAGCCCCGCCCTCAGCCTGCAGGCGGCTCCTCGATTGGCTCGTTTCTAGGGACCAAGTCTCGCGTGTTTATTGGTCCCTGTCAACGCTAGGGCTGACGGATCTGGGCGCCAGGTGGTCGCTCCACAGTGTGAGTGGGCGGGCCAGTGCAGGGCAGTGAGTATTGCTCGAAGACAGGAAGGAAGGAAAGGCGCTATTTAAAGAGTTTGTTACAAAAGAAGGAACAGTTTCACGTTATGTCCGGTTTGGCCAGTGCACTCGTGGCGCGCCTGCGCATAACAAGGACCAAGATTGGCCTGTGGAACGGACTAGCGTCCTTGTCCCAACCAATGAAAATGCGCCGGAGGCGGGCCATTCTCTCACTGGCCTGCCCTGCGTCTGCGCGGGGGTTTCGTTCAGCCGCAGCTGTAAGCGCGAGTTTCTCTTCTTCGCGCGATGGGATCCGGGCTGATCGAGCGCCTTGCCCCTCGCTTGGGCCTAGCTGAGCCCAGTGTGCTGAGGTGAGTCTGTCTGGGCACGACCACACCCCGGGGGACTTTTCCTGGCAGTCCTGAGCCCTCCCTAGGCAAGGCCGGGTGAGCCCGAGGCCCTTCCTCAGGAACTTCCGGCCATGGGCCCGCGCGAGATGACAAGAGGGTGTCTGTAGACGTTCTGGGTAACCACTGGCCCTGTGGGTTGAAGGGCGGTGAAAAGAAGGAAGGAGTGCGGGAGAACGTGGGTGAACCGGGCAGCGGTGTAGACTTACGGACATCGTGGCAAGAACCATGTAGGGCTTTATACGCCGAATGGGTGACGTGCTGGAGCGACTGTGGGGACACCTGGCGCTACTTTTCATAAAAAGTTAGGAGAGGCCCCGGAGGAGACATTGCTCTGAGACCTGATTGACAGTGCCAGCCATGGGACGGTGTGGCAAGACGAGGACTGTGACAGAAATCCTTGAGATAGGAACGATCTTTGTGGAACAGCGATTCTCAAGTGTGGTTCCTGGACCCGCAACAGCAGCAGCATCTTGGCACTTGTTAGAAATACAAACTCTGGAGCTCCACCCCGTGCCTGCTAATCAGAAGCTGGGGCTGGGACCCAGCGTGTGCTTTCACAAGCCCCCAATAAGTTTGAGAACCACCGATGAAAAGAAGGGATCCTGGTCTACCCTGCTCTCCCTCTGATTGTTCACACTTGTTCCAGTAATGGGAGAAAGAAGGAAAGGCTGTTTATTTGGGGGAGCGGGGTGAGCTAAATCTTGCCGAAAGCAGTTACGTTGTCTTGAGCACATCCTCTTCTCAGAGAATATGCACTTCATTCCCAGCTCCAAATAAAGCTAGTCTGAAGCCCACCAGGTTATATGCATTGTTTACTGAAGTGCTGAGCAAACTTCTGAAAAATTTCTATTGAACACATTGCTCTTACACCAGGAAAGCAGAGGAGTACTTGCGACTCTCTCAGGTGAAGTGTATTGCTCTGTCTGCACATACCTCAGAAACTAGCAATGCTGTCATGTGCTTGGACCTTGCAGCTGCCTGTATGAAGTGCCCCTTGGACAGGGTAAGTGGTTCTCATTCAATGTCCAAGTAATCTATAACTTAACCCTTTCATTTTATTTTTTGGTTGGGCTAGACCGTGGCCAAAAACTCATGTTTTAGAATTTTTGCAGCTATTCTCATATGTTATTCTATATGCATTTAAGGATTATTTTGTCAAGTTGGAAAAAAATAACTTTGTGCAGTGTTCTGTATATTATTTAGTTTCTATGTTTTGCTTCATAGAGGCCATCATCTTCCTTGCTGCTATTAGCAGTAGCTTCCTAAAGCATATACTTTAAAACTTGTGTCTTCATTTTTCCACTATCACAGTATTTAATAGCAGCAGCTTTGGAGTCAGGAAGTTACATGTTGAAGCCAAATTTCAATACCATTTTCTAGTTCTGTGAGCCACCAGTTTCCTCCTCCATAAAGTGAAATAATGTCCATTTCACAGAGTTGTGATGATTACCGAACACCTGTAAAATGGTGTTAATGTTAAAGCAAAGCTCTGTTGTCTCCCATTAAAGTTTCCAGCCTCTCTTAACCCCTGATTTCAAACTATAGTATTTGCTTATCAGACTTTTACAGTTTAATAATGTGTGGCTTTATTGATGGAACACTTGGTTTTTCCAGGAATGCTCTTCGGGCAAATCCCTGTTTGTCTTATGTGACCTCCACCTTGCTGTTACATCCTTTATGAAGCTCCCCTTGACTTTCCCACACAGTTGGTTTCTCACAATTGTTGATTTTCCTGTTTCTGTCCTTGTTTCCCGTTCTGCCTTTCCTCCTCCACATACACTCTCTCCCCCTTACACTCCTATCACTTCTCTGTCATTTTCCCTAAAATTCGCCCAGTGGCACGTGTTGAAAAACAACCATGTCTATATCCCAGGGTTTTTTCCCCTCTATACTTCAGACATCGATACTACATAATTATTTTAAAGTTTGGTGTGAATATGCATCACTGCCCTCCTACAGTATGAGCTTCTTGAAGAAAGTAGTCTGCTTGAGGTGATTGCAGATTTTTATTAAATGAAGCTAAACCTTTAGGTAGACTGACACCACAGAATTCATTTTGAAAAGTCTATACCACATATTAAGTGTTTATGCTAATCTAGAGAACTTAAGATTTGTGTATTTTTCCTTTCAAAGGCTTATTTAATTAAACTTTCTGGATTGAACAAGAAAATGTATCAGAGCTGTCTTAAATCTTTGGAGTGTTTATTGGACGTGAATTCAAATATTGGAATAAAAGACCTAGCTGTACAATTTAGCTGTACAGAAGCAGTGAACATGGCTTCAAAGATACTGCAAAGGTATGGCCATAAAGAACCTTAAATTTTATGGTGATAAAGCAGAATAATCCAGTGATCTGTTTTGGTAAGTTTCAGTCTTTAAATAAAAACTGTTCAAAATAAAAAGAGGTGGGTTTGTAGTTTAGTGTAAAAGTCCTGGGTTCAATCCCCAGTACTGTACCAAAAAAAAAACCGAACAGCAACAAAGGTGCTAAAGTGACGGCGTACTAATCTCCTGCATTTTGAAACACTGTAAGTTGTGGTTTACATTTTCAGTTCCTTTTTAAATAATGTTTTCCTTTTTAAAAACTTTTTGCTGATATGAATTGTTGTTTTAGTTGTACAAATTGATAGCGGGGTATGGTGTGATAATTTGATACACGTGTACAGGTTTAATGATCAAACTGGGTGATTGACACTTCCATATTAAACCTTTAAAATTTTTTTATTAACAAAATAATTGTATCTGTGGCATATAGTGTGATATTTCAGTACAGGTATACAATATGCACTGATGAAGTAAGGATAATTAATAATTCCATCTCCTTATCATTACTTAGTGTTTGAAGCCTTTGAACTTGTATCTTCTTGTGATTCATACAATATATAATAAGTTACTATGAATTATAGGCACCTCACCATTCTGTACAATGCTGGAACTTATTTATTTTGGGGTGTATGGCATTTTATTACATGTATATAACATTTTGATCGTATACCCCACAAAATAATTTTCTGACAAGTGATTCTGTAAACATTACTCATCCCTAGCTATGAGTCCAGTCTTCCTCAGACACAGCACGTAGATTTGGATTTATCCAGGCCACTTTTCACCACTGCTGCACTACTTTCAGCATGCAAGTAAGTGTTCCTTTTAATATTCAGAAGTTTTCAGTTTATAAGTGGGGTATGTTATTCCCAAAGAATACTTCTAAATTAGCTGATTTCAACTTGGCATGTTTTTCCCTATAAATAAATAAATAACATTAGGACAAGTGGCTAAGTGAGCAAATTTTCAGTTTTTCCTGTAATGTAGGTGACAACTTGAAACTAGTGATTCCAGAAGGGCTGTTTCCAAACGGTAGCCATATAAGTAATTTGGGTATTGTGATTTCAGAGTTCGCTTCTTATAAATGATGAAATCTCTCAGAACAGTGGTCACATGTAATTTTTCCAGTCACATTTTTAAAAAAAATACTGGCAAACTGTTCAGTAAAACATTTTGTGTGTTACCCTGTGTATACTGAATTGTTACCCTGGAAATATTTGTAGTTGTTGGTATCTTTGTATAAAGTTGTCATCTTGCCTAAAAGCTTCTTGGGATGGGGATAGGGGGTAGTTAGTTGGCCGTTAAAAAATGAGGAAGTTTCTCACTACCTAGGTACTAATTTTTGGTGTGTTTGACTCTATTCACATACCTAGGGCTGATACACAGAAAGTGTTCCTTTAAATCAACAAAGATTTATGTGTGTAAAGAGGGAGTAAGGCTGTTAATGTAGAAAACTGAAAATGGTCAAATAGCCCCACTTTTGGAGCCATATTAGACTGAGCAAAGAGAGGTTGTGGACAGGTCTGTTATCTTGAATAAGAAGTTTGTGATTTTTATTAGTGTTTGCTGTAAAGGGTTTAGGTTTTTTGAGGGGGTGGAAGGGTATTAATACTATTCTAGTATAATTGTAAGTAGTATGGGTTAAAGTGAGTTGAACACTTGAAATGTACTGTTATTATCATTCTGTAAATTAACATCTGAGACTTTAACTAAAAAGTTCTAAAAGGCATGAGGCCCTATAGCAAATGTAGTTTATCTGCTCCATTTGTTACAAAATAGACCCCATGTATATTTTAACTCTCAATACATAACTAAAGACTTTAAAAAGGCAAATTTTCATGGTTTTTGCTAATGACATGGATATGGAATAAAGGAAAAACTAAGCAAGTGGGGACTCTTGGAAAAGGTTGGCCAGAGAAGAAAACTACTGGTCCCCAAAAAGCAATTTTTGAAATTCTTTTGTAGGATTCTAAAGCTGAAAGTGGATAAAAGCAAAATGATAGCAATGGCCTGTGTAAAAAAAGCCATTTTTGATCGACTGTGTAAGCAATTAGAGAAGATTGGACAGCAGATTGACAGTGAGTATTTTATAGTTCAAGAATGTCTCATTTGAAAGTATAGACTTGTTAAGTCAGATATTATCAACTTGCAAACTGGCTGCTTCCTGAATTCTGTAATTAAGGTGGGCTAGATATGTTTTTAGTGAGAAAAATTGTTTTTTCTATTTTTCAAATAAAGTTGTAACTTTTTAGAAACCTGAGATTCCATAAATCCAGGCCTGGAAAAGTAGATTCTCTGTTAGCATGCTGTGATGTTAAATGCCAGCCTCCATATACATAGGACAGAAGTGATTTCAAGTTTGGTAAGAGAAGAAACAAGAAAAGGAGAGGGCAAGATCATTTGCTTTTTTGTCCTAGTCTTTGGGCCATCAAGCTAACCAGTGTTTGTTTATGAACTAAAATATGGCCAAATACTAAAACGGATTAGAAAAATTAATCTGCTGATACTTTTTTTTTTTCTTTCCTTAAAGGAGAACTTAAAGATTTGGCTAGTCCTCCACGGAAGAAAAAGAATATAGTAGTTGAAACACTGGCAAAAGGTAAGTCTTACTAATATTGCATTTATACTGATATTGAAATTAGTGCAGTGTGATTAATGCAGTGAATAGTCCTGTGCTATTCCAGCAGCTCACTTGACAAGAGCAGCCTTGAAGTAAATCCTGACTTAATCTTGCTAAGACCAGTCTTCCAAGCAATGATTGATTAGTGGAAATAACAGAAGTTTTGTGTCATCTGAAGCTGAGCAGCCTGAGTACCATTAAAAGAAAAGCTATGGACAAATTAAAGTTTGTAACAGTTTGAACAAAGTCTGAGTCATGAATTGGGCAGCACTCAAATCAGAAAGGGATTCAGGGACCAAGTAGTCTAAACAGTGAGATTTTATAGACTGAATCTGGAAGCAAAGTAGAGAAAGTACTTTATGAATGTGGCTATGCATTTGCTGTATTTGGGCATGCACTAATGGGAGGTCACTAGTTGTATAATTGGTTGACTGGTTGTGACTGGCTGAGGCTCATTTTGTTTTGTTTTCTTCTTAGTTACAAGAAGTGTTTTCAGGTTAAGTTCTTCTTTCTTACATAGGAGCTCCAGCTATAAGCACAGTCTGGCTGGTAGCCTTTTTATTGGCATTAACATCCCCCCGTTGGCTGTGTGAGTTTAAGAAGGCACAGTTTTTGTGAGATTTCCTAATCTATAAAATGTAATAATATTAGCACCCACTTCATTAGTATTGTGGTGAAGGTTGAATGAGATACAGTTGAAAGTGCTTGGTTCAGTGCTCATCAAGCACAAAGTAAATGCTTGATAAATCTTAACTATTAGATGTCTTGTAATGTTAGGAGTATAAGAGAAAAAAATGAGAGTTGCCATTTTATTTCAGTATCTTATTTCCTGTTACCTTAATTGCAGTAGATACTTTCTACAAAGTTTGCTTCATTTGTAAGCATAGGAATTTTGAAATTACTTTGGTTTTTTTCTCATAGAAATAAAGAAAGTAGAAGAAATCCCACATAAATCACAGAAAGACAACGATGTGACACAGGATTATGAAGAATGGAAAAGGAAAATTTTGGAAAATGCTGCCAGTGCTCAAAAGACTACAGCAGAGTGATTTTAGTTTTCAGCCTGGACTGTACTACAAACCTGTAATTTACTGCCACCTCCAGGAAGGATTGAAGGCTTTGAGCTTTGTTTGAACTTTTATACCAAGGATCCTATTGCTGTAATAGCAGCGAAGCCATTACTTGAGCTGAGTTCTGGGCAGTGGGCTGCCTCTGATCTAAGCAACATTACATCATCTGCAGTGCCTCGCACCTCAGATCCCCAGTCTGGCTGTTCTACAACAGGAAATGGCAGCCATCTTGCTTTTCTGTTGTGTCCTAAGCTAAAGGTAGTCTCCTGTTGTATCTAAAATATAAGATTTTACTTAAATTTTTGTGCAACTGTTTTGGTTTGACTAAATATTTTATACAGTCTGAGTTAATAAATATTATTTTTATGTGCATGCAGGTTGCATTTATCATTAGTTTGAAAGCCAAAATCAGGAAAAAGTCCAGCTTACTATACAGTAGTCCTCACTGCTCACCAGAACCTAGAAAAATCACATTTCCTGAGTTTCAAACCCTGCTTGGCTACTCACACCTGTGAAACCTTAAGGAAACTCATTAATTTTTTTAGGCCTCACTTAATAAAGTAGGAATAAAAAGTGATACCTCTTGGAATAATTTGGAGTACTATAGCCAGTACACATAGTTTTTTAGCTACAGTACCTGCTATTAAGTATTCAGCAAATATTAGAAAAAAGAGCAATTAACTATGGAAAAGGACCTTTTATGACTGGGCATCATACCAAGACATGATTTTAACTAAAATTAATATATGATTTAGCTGAGCATTGTGGTGTACCTATGAACTCAGCACTCTGGGAGGCTGAGACAAGAGGATCTTGAGTTCTAGTCCAGTTTGGGCAACTTAGAGACTTAGTGCCACCCTGTCTCAGCAGATAGGCAGGTAGGGGATATAGCTCAGTGCAAAGGCCCTGGATCATTCCCCAGTACCAAATAAGATGTAATTAAATTTTTCCATGATGAAGTGATTGTACCCATGTGTTTGGACTGGCATCAGTAACAAAAGTGGTTGCCTCTTATCTCCTACAATGAAGTCATAATACCTGCTACATAGATGTAGAGTGACTGATTCTTTTTCTCTTGCTCTTTTTTTGAGATTGGGATCTCACTTTGTTACCCAGGCTGATCTTGAAGTCAGGGACTCAAGCAGTCTTCCTACCTAAGTTGCTGAAAAGCTGAGACTGTAGGTGTAACCACCCCGCCTGGCTTGCCTGGCCCTTTTTAACTCTTGAAATTTAGCAGATTGACGTTCAGGAAATAACACAATCAAATTATCCCAACACAGAAATAGCACCTGACAAGCCCTGTGATATTTAAATTCTGGCTGTGCCATTTCTTCCCTAAAAACAGCTCACAACTTAAATGAGCTTTTAGTTTCTTCATTTATAAAAGACATGTGTCTTGTGAGAATTAAAGGTAATACTTGTATATGATATTTGGAAGGCATTCACTCATAGCCCTTGCTAACTACTGTAATGTAAAATGAGTAAATGTCCTCATTCAAGAAGATACGTTTTTTTGTTTGTTTTTGGTTTTTTAGGTACTGGGGATTGAATTCAGGTCCTTGTGTTTGCGAGGTAGGTGGCAGAACCACTGATCTAAATCCCTGGCCCCCTTAGTTTGTTTTTAATTTGGTGTCAAGTTTAGTTTTTAGCTTTGAGTCAAAAATAATGTAACTATCATAAAATTAAACAACTTTTAAAAATAATGGTAGTAATATATATTTATATTTTATATATATATATATATGTATGTATATTAATTAATTAATTTTCCAGCTTTACCTTTTTAGAGTACAGTTCAGTGGTCACATTGTTTTGCAACCAGACTCCAAAAGTTTTTCATCTTGTAAAACTGACTACCCATTAAACAATTCCCCATTCCTCCCTCCCCCAGGCTCTGGTGACCAACATTTTTTCTGTCCTGTACTTCATAGAAGTGGAATCAGTATTTCTTTGTGACTAATTTATTTCCTTAGTATAATGTCCTCAGGTTTCATCCATTTTGTAGCTTGTATCACAGTCTTCCTTTTCAAGGTTTAGTAATATTCCATTATGTATATAACACCACTTAAAATATATTTATATACTGATGGGACATTTAGGTTTGCCTCCTCCTAGATGTTGTGAGTAATGCTGAGAACATGAATGTACAGATATTTCTTGGAGATTTTGGTTTCCAATTTTTGGAGTTATATACACAGATGTGGGATTACTGGGTCATATTGTAATTAAAAAATTTTTGAGGACCAAACCATCTATAGTGGGTACATCATGCTCTATTCCCATTGGTAGTTCACCAGGGTTCCAGTTTTTCCACATTCTTGCCAGTGCTTATTTTCTATTGGGTTTCGTGTGGGGTTGAGATTGTTTCTTTGTTTTTAAGTAGCCACCCTAATGGATATGAGGTGTTGTCTTGTGGTTTTTGTCTTTCCCCAATGATTAATGATGTCAAGCATCTATGCTTATTGGCTGTTATGAATTTTCTTTGCAGAAATGTCTGCACAGTCCTTTGCCCCTTTTTCAATTGGGGTTTTTTGTTGTTGTTGTTTTTGTGGCTGAGTTGTTCTTTCTTCCAGATATTAACCCTTATCAGATACATGATGCTTGGAGGACATTTTTTTCCCGTTGCTCAGGTTGCTTTTTCAATCTTAACTACATTGATGCACAATTTTCAGTTTTGATGTAGTTCATTTGACCTACTTTCACTTTTGTTACCTGCACTTTTGCTCTCAAAGAAATTCAATGTCATGAAGCATTGCCTCTATATTTTAAAAGTTTTATAGTAATTCTTACATTTGGATCTTTCATCCATTTTAAATTAATTAAGGACATTCACTTTGAAATTACGCTATTAAGATTTGGTTAGGTCTGATGTTTCTGAGCCTTATTTTCACAATAAAAAGTCCAGTTTTTGAACATACTCCTATTCCCCGGGATGGAAGCTTATTACTCATTCCATCTGTTTCAGTACTATATTTATTGTTTTAAAAAAAACTTTTTGGAAGCTTAGTTCTGCTAACAAAGATAAAATTAAAAATTAAAGTTCCTGAGCATCTCTAATATATCTTTTTATTGCTTGCTCAAATCAGGGTCCACACGATATTGCTTTACTTTTTATTATAAAAACAGTACATGCTTGTTAAAAAGAAATACAATGGGCCAGGGATTTAGCTCAGTGGTTCCGGTGCCTCCCTTGCAAGCACAAGGGCCTGAGTTCGATCCCTGGTACCAAAAAAAAAAAAAAATACAAGTGGTTCAGAAAATTATGAAAAGTAGAAATCCCTCTCCCACGTGCTAGAAATTTCCCCTCCTAAACACCCACTTTTCACATCCCAATTTTTGTTTCCTTCAAATCCCTATAACTTTTTAATGCACATGTGAGCATGTGTCTCTTCATAAATGGATGATACCATATAAATGTTCTATAATCTTTACATGAAAAGATGGCTATCAGTACATCTAGATCCATTGTGGTGGATTACTGGGGTTGACCGTTAACTAATAATGGTAAAGAACTGAATCAGCATGGTTGGTCATAGAAGACCCACCCGAGGACTGCTGCCAATGGCGTAGAAAGAGAACTGGAGGGGAAGATCGTTGGCTGTTGCTTTTCTGTGAGAAGCTTGCTGTGGTTGGTTTTCCTGATGCGAACTTGGCTGTTCTCAGAAGAGGGGCTCGGGTCCTTACTGTCGCAGGGAGTGGCTGCTGCTCTTGTCAGGGAAGCTCTGATGTTCACTGTAAGCATCACTTCTTGGCTTCATCGTAGATCCCTCAGCCTGGTGGCACAAATCCTTCACCCCACTGGCGCAGGTTTTCCGGCTTCCACCACTGGCCTTTGGGCCTTCCGGTGCAGATCCTCAATACGGACAAGCAGGAGACACTGCCATGTGCTCTAGGCCACTGGCTGGACTTGTGGAGGACACGGCCTTGGACTTGAGGCCTTCAGCTGAACTTGTGTGGGATTCAGACCCTTGGCTGGATTCCTTGGGTCTCTGGTGCGTAGGTAATCTCTTGCACTCCTCTGCATTTGACTTTTTGGATGACTACTATAAACCAATCCTATAAATTATGTGTCCTGTATTAAGTAAACTCCCTTGCAAACCCTGATCACATCTATCTTTAATGCCTCTGACTTACTCTGCTATATGATATGGCAAAGCTCAGTCTACTCACACAGACACGCATGTGTGGTTTCCCCTGGATCATCAGCAATAGTGCTATAATGAACATTGTGCATAAACTTCTTATATGCTTTTTCAAGTACTGAGTGATAATTTCTAGAAATGGAATTGCTGCATGGTGAGTATGACATTTGGATACCCATCCATCAAGAATAAGAAAATGCTGTTTTCTCCACACTCTTACCAACTCCAGCAATCTGGTAAGTGAAGAAAGTGGGCCCTATCTTCTAGCATTTCTTGCCCAACAGTTTTCAGTCACTATTGTTCTTATCAAATGAAAAAGTCCCATTACATAGAGTTGATACCATCACAGTAGTAATCTTAAATTTGGGGGGCCAAGTTACATTAGCAAATTAGAGAACTAAAAATATCCAGAAACCTCAAGCTTCACAAAAGCTCCTCTTCAGTTCAGGTTTCTTCATTTGTTTTGTTTGTCTGTCTGTTTGGTATTGGTTTTTGGTTGGGAGAAAAGGTCTTGCTACACACTTCAGGCTGGGCTTGAGCTCACTATGTAACCCAGGGGGGCCTCAAACTCCAGATGATCCTGCTGGGATTACAGGCGTGTGCCATCAACATGCCCACCTCTTAATTTCAGTTCAGGGAGGCTAAAGTCCACCTTACCTCTCACTTATATGGGCCTATCCTAAACATACCCCTCAGGGAGACTTTGGATAGAAATGGTTGCTTTAGGTAACAGTATGAGGGGGAAAAAAATTAAAATTTGGTAGATAAGGTACACATACCACTAAACGTGGTTATTAAACACTTAAAATCTGGCTAACACAACTATAGAAGTGAATTTCTAGCTTTATTTTAATTAAATGTAAAAATAGATCACTAAATTATTAGGAAAACTTCAGAATGTTTCAAGCAACTTGAGTACATATATTTTTTTCTACAGTAAATTTTATGAAATGTAAATATAAACTATTTCCAATGAAAACCTACCGTCTAAATGAATATATGTTGTTCAGTGTAAATTACACAGCAGGTTACACAGCTTTAGCATGAAAAAAATCTCCATAATTTTATGTTGATTACATATTGAAATGTTTTTAATATATTGGATTAAACAAATTATTTAAATTAATTTCAGTGAATATTTTTAAAAGAGCTAGAAAATTTTAAAAATTGTGAATATGGCTGATATTTCTCTGAACAGTGCTGCTCTAGACCAGGGTACATTTTTCTGGGGGGGAAGATTATAGCATTCCAGAAGGACCTCAAGTCCCAAATAGAATAAGAGCTACCACACTAGATAGAATTGTAGAAGAAACTTCCTCACTTTCCTCAACAACCTTTCCCATAGCCAGGTATGGTGGTACATACCTGTAGGAGGCTGAGACAGGAGGATACCAAGTTTGGGCCCAGCCTGGGCAATTTAGCAATTTAGCAAGACTCTGTATCAAAATAAAAAAGGGCTAAGGATGTCTGCACTGGCAATGGGTTCATTTCTCAGTACCATTTTTTAAAAAAGCATTTTTTCATAAAGACAATTGATACCTAAAAAGTAAAACCAAATCACTGTTACTCTCTCACTAAACATGGTTTCTAGCAGCCATCTCTTGGGATGTTTGTTTGTTCATCAGCTGGTCAATTTGGAGCAGGGCTACACATGATGGTACTGAAAATCTTAGCTCTCTGACAAGGTTATAACCCAAGAGAGTTTACTCTGGTGGAGGAAAAAAATCCTGAAAGGCTGTGAAACTGTTGTATGTCTAACTGAAAACCAAGTGACTACACCAATTAAAACAGCTGATTTAAGCAGGCAATGGAAGTACTGTACCATACAAATCAGGGAGAAGTGAGCCTGGCACACACCTGTAATCACAGCACCTGGGAGGCTGAGGCAGGAGAATTGCCATGAGTCAAGGCCAGCCTGGGCTACATAGTTCAAGGTCAGCCTGAACAACAGTGAGACCCTGTCTCAAAAAACAAAACAAAAACATCATTGCAGAAGTGAAGAAATTTTAGAAAGTGTTAGCTTTTGAATAATACAGTATTCCCTTTAATAAAGGGATAAAGTGCTGAAATGAGCCAGCCATGGTGGCCGGAGGTTTGCCACAAGTTCAAGGCCAGCCTGGGCTACACAGTGGGTTCAAGGCCAGCCTGAAGTGTGTAGTAAGTCCCTTTATCAAAACAAAACAAAAACAAAAAACAGAGGAGAGTGCTGAAATGTATGCACGGGGAGTTTGTAAATATTTTAGTTGCTCACCGTATTGAGGAGAGTGGTATTTCAGGGAATGGACGAGGTGGCTATTTTAATGCATGGAGTAAAGTTTTTAAATGCACCAGTATATAAGAAGCACCGGTATATATGTAAAATATCCGAAGTAGTACATCCTTAGTAAAGCAGTAGGAGAGCATTTCTTTATTGCTTCAAACTATATTATTTCTGTGTTCCTCCCAGGAGGTTTAAACACCATTACATTCTTATTTCACTCCGTATATATATATTTTTTGTACCGGGGATCGAACACAGGACCTTGAGTTCGCCAGGCAGTTTCACGTCATACACCGCATATCATTTTTCAGACTTACAAGACCAGAAGTTCATAACCAAGAAGAGAGGGACAAAGCCATAGAAGTAAGCAAGAGAGTGGAGGTGGGTACAGAATTTAAAAACACGTTCAAAATTTCAGACTTAACTGCTTCTTGGCCTTTTGGCTAAAATCAAGTAAAAATTTTTCAGATTTAGTCATGATGAATATACTTTGAAATTTTCCACAAAACTAAAGGAAGCCTGTTGGTCTTGATTCTTAAGAGAACAAAAGTTTAAATGAGTCTGTTGTCGCTGTCCTAAACCCGTGCCACATGACACTAGATGAGGGTAACACAAGATCTGCTCAAACCTAAGCAAGTCAACATGCTAGGATTTCTTTGTTTGGAATATTTGCACTGGAAGAGGCAATTCTGAGTAACATGCCTCGCGTAACAGCCAAGTTTCAAATTTAAATTTGGCATGTGCAAAGGAGGGTCTTTCCTACTTACCTAAGTATGCCTACATTTTAATACTTGAAAAGTAAACCGCATTTCAAACTTCGTGATCTTACAGGAAAAAAAAAGTTTCTAAGATGCTTTCTTTACAGCCATAAGGAAAGCAACAGTCAACTTTTTGTTGTTGTTGTTACAAAAGTAGAAGAATCAATAATAATAAAATGCCAGATTATTTAAAATCTTGAATCATCTCTTCAAATCAACAAAGGCCTCAGTAATTTCCAGGCCTTTTGAAGTAGGAGAGTTGAATATTAAGAAGTTGGAAATTTCCTCAATCTATTGGCAGCAGTCACCACGTAGAAATGTTTCTTGAGACAAGGAGAGAAAGAAAACGAAAAGCACAGTTTTAGATTTTAAAAAGAAGCAGTGAAAGGAATCTAGCCACTTGGGTTTGTTTAAAATTAATAATCTAAAGGAAAGAACAATTTTCTAAAATAATTATAGTAGAATAAACATGTTACTTTCAGAGGTGTTTGGAGTCTGATGAGAAAATAAGTTATCCTGCCCTTTCAAATAAAAAATAGAGGACCCTAGAACAATGTTTCTCAAATTGTGACTCACAATCCACAGTGGGATGTGAAATCAAATTTTTGGACTGTAAACACCTATTTTTTTTAAAATTAAAAGCAAGGGCCAGGGATTTAGCTCAGCGGTTTGGTGGCTGGCCTTGCAAGCGCAAGGACCCAAGTTCAATCCCCAGTACCAAAAAAATAAAAAATTTAAAAAATAAATAAATTTAAAAAACCAAGTGGCATAGAAGAGAAAACAGAATGTATCACAGAATATGTAGAATGATCTCTTATGTGCAGATATGTGCATGTATCTCTATATATCACAGAATAGTAAATGTGACCTTTATGTTTCTGTGGACATACGTGTATATGAATACTTGTGTACTGGTTCCCTAGGTAACGGTTTTGTTGTTTTGGGTGTTTTCTGGGGTGTGTGTTTGGTTGGTTTTGGTTTTGGTGTTGGGATTTTTACCTAGGGTCTTAGGCATGGTAAGGATATTATGTGACAGGAGTTATAGCCCCCGCGCCCTGTTTTGTGTTTTAGTGAGGATCAGAATCAGCACCAAAATGTTGCAAAGCCACTTCCCTGGATGATAACTACTATTAAGATAGGTTCTGTGTCCATGTTACCAAAGAGGTCTGTCAGAAACAAAGCCATAAAGCTTTTAAAACTTAATAGGGTTTTCCGACAACCCATTTTTAAAATGTGGATGAATCCAGCTTCAAAACTATAAGCAGTTCAGGAATGACACTGCCACTGCCACAGAGAACATACCAAGGTGGGCTCAAAAAATACTGTCAATGTTTACAAAATTGTTTTTAAACTGTTACAGTAAAAGACATATTGCTGGGCGTGGTGGTGTATGCCTATAATCCCAGCACTTAGGAGGCTGAGGCAGGAAGACTGCTGCAAATTTGAGGCCAGCCTGGGCTACACAGTGAGTTCAAGTCCAGCCTGAACTACATAGTGGGACCCTGTCTCAAAAAAGAAAAAACAGAAAAGGAAAAAAACAAGAAAACAAAGATACTGCCATTCATCCTCTTCAAAATCCTCCCCTTCACTTCAAACGCACTGATCCTGTCACTCTTGCCACCTTCTGAAGCAGTTCTGGGGTCCTCTTTCCTGAGTGTCTATAGTTGTGCGGTCTTGGCTGCCTTGATGCCCTGAATGGATTCAAAGCTTTTAGCTCTCATGATCGTTTCAGCTAACTAGGGAAGAACCAGGGGTCTCACAGTGCCAGAGCTGGTGCAGGGTGGATGACAACACACCTTAATGTTTTCACAAGCCTGCCTTTCCACTGGATGACACTTAGCAGTGGCATTCACTTTTTTTTTTTTTTTTTTTTT